AGACTTTCCTATTTCTTTAAGGTTGAAACTGGCAGGTAACTGAAGCCATCCAGCAGTTCGCTTGGGCAACTATTGGATCTGGTCTGGCCTGTGATAAATATATAGATGTACTGTCTATCTGCCTTCTCTCTTTGCCAAATCTTGCTAATGACATGCCATTGTCATAAAAAGGTTGGGAAGAAGTTGATGGATGACAGTTCTGACAGTATTACTGAATGTTCTTTGGTTTAGAAGCTGCAAATATATTATTTCTTTAGTGCATAAGAACCATTTTTGCTGTTCACAAACACGGGCATTATTTTCCTCAAAAGAAATTGCTTTTGTGCAATATTTTATGCTCTGAACAAAAGTGTATGTTTTACATTGTTATCCTTTTGTGATCAAGATGGACCCTAGTAAACCATCTGATCGTGACACACATATCTATAAAATTACCTTATGCTTCTCAATTACTTTTGTTTTTTTACTAAAGTTATTGGATGCCCACAGAAGGCTTGAAAGAGAAGCCTCTATCTGTAGTACTTGATAGATGCAAATAATGGTCACTAATGTCATAAAGGTGTTTTCACCACTTTCACTTAAATCTATGTGCATCTGCTTTTGATGTTGCTAAATAATAACTTGTCTGAAATATATTAATTACAATAATGTTTACTTTGTACATATTTATAGATCTACACCAAGCTGAAAATGTACATGACACCATTTTATATGAGGAATGTAAATGTTGCAATATTACTGTCTCTGGTATTCTAACAGGAAAATGAATTCTGTATATACACACTAGAAGTGAATTACTAAATAAAGGCAAAACACTAACTTTACATTCAGTTTCAGCCTAGCTACACTAACAAGCTCATGTCAGAAATGCTTGTGCGGGGTGTGTGCGGAGTGTGCCAGTGTGTGCGGGGTGTGTGCGGAGTGGCTTTTGGAGGGAAAAGCGCCGCTCCGGGGACAAAAACACGCGGCAGAAGCGGCGCCGGCGCCCGGAGCCCCCAACGGCTGCGGCGGGCGCTGCTGTCGGGGGAGCGGCGCGTTATCGGGGCTGCTTTGATTTCTCGCCCCGCTCCGCGCGGGCCCCATCGCTGCCAGCCCCCGCTCAAGGATGAACCTGGGCGCAGGTGGGTCTGGGCACCAACGCTCCCACCCGGCCAGCCGGCGCCGTGCCCGTGGGCGGCGCCTCCCCGGCGGCGCGGAGCGACCCGGCCCCCGCCGGCGGACGGGCCAGTGCTTCGCGGCACAGCCGGGAGGGCACCTGCGGGGCAGCTCTCGAGCCCCGCCGGCGGGTTGGGTCTCCTCCCTCTTTTTCCCGTTCGCAAACCTGAGGCCGCTAACAGGAGGGGGGGGGGGGGGAAGTGAAGCAACACCCATAAAGAACCCATCGAACGTCGATTAAATTCGCTATTTGCAAAGTGTCATGTGTAATGGCAGAGGCGGCCCGGCACTGGACGAGTTCCAGTGAACCTCTCCTGTCTTACTCCGAGGAGCCCGCTCGGAGTAGCTCTCGTTAACCCGGTCCCTGCCCCCCCTCGACTCCCCGCGGGGTCCCCCATGAGGATTCCCACCTCGTCTCCTCTCCCCGCCCCGGCTTTCGCTGCCCACAGCTGCAAGGTGTCGCGACGCCGACAGCTGCGGGCTTCAGGAAAGATTCCGTTTTGTTCGTTTTCGCGTTGTCGTGGTTCGCGCGGGGTGAGTGAATCAGTCCCTCCGACAGGAACAGCCCCTCAAGCGCCAGGTTTACGCTGCCGAGTTTGCAACGACTCTGCCGCCCGCCCCGGTAGCAACCTCGCGCTGACTAGCCCATTCAGGGTGGCGGGGACTGATAAGCAGTTTCTGGGGGAGAGAGATTTGTTGGGGCCGCTTCTGCCGCGGCTGCCGGCTTGGGGACCAGCACGGAGGCGCGGTGCGCCTGGTGAGCCCACTGCGGACACGATCCCGCGGAGGGACGGGGCTGCACCCGACCGTGCCCCCCCGGCTCCCTCAGCCCCCGCTCGTCCGACGAACGGTGCCCGGCTACCGCTGGTGCCTGTTCCCCGCGATCCGGCTGCAGCCGTCGGGCTGCCGGAGCGTGGCCGGGGAGGACACAAGGCTCCCGTGTGGGGGGTGGAAAGGGTTTGGCCGGGGGGGTGGGAGGCTGAGTTAGCTGCGCTCAGGGAAGGGGGTTGAGGCGAGCCCTCGGCGAGCGGCCCCTCCCGACCGGCGCCCCCGGCCCTCACCGGCGGGATCGACGCCTCCCCGCAGGTCGCCTCCCCGCCGCCGTCCCGCAGGAGACTCGGGGGTGACGCTCGCCGCCCGGCGAGGGAGAGGGAGTGCGGCCGTGCCGGCCGTGGCAGCACCCCACCATGCCGAGGTCCTTCCTAGTAAAGAGCAAGAAAGCGTACAGCTACCGCCAGCCCCGCTCCGCCGATGAGGACTACAGCCTGCGGCTCGATCCGGACACTTCCCAGGGGCGCTTGTCCCCGGAATCCCACCTTACCGATGCTGCCGATGGCATCTCCGAGTCAATGCCCAGCTGCGAGGGCAGCTTCTGGGACAGAGCGTCCGAATTTGAGGATTTCTGGAGACCTCCCTTGCCCTCTGTGTCGCCAGGTAGGACCGGGGCGAGCAGGCTGTAGAAAAGTTGTCATGACATCGGGTGTTGTTTTTTTTTTTTTTTTGTGATTAATTGTTAAAAGCAAATCGATTATGTTTTTAAACGTCCTGGCATTTTCTTACAGGGTTCTGCCTACATGGAGTTTATAAGTTCTTTAAGACAGCACAAACTTTTACTAGGCAATCTATCCACCTGTAGTAAACAGCATTGAATGTGTGTTTTGTACTACCTGCTGGACGTCTTCCCTAACGCCCTTTCAGGTCATTTCTTGCCTCTTGCCTATAAAAAGGATCTGTCTCTCTTCCCGCTCCCCTCTCTTTTGTTGGTTTTTGGGGGGTTGGGGTTTTTTTTGTTTATTTTTCTTTTCTGTAAAGGCATTTGTAAAAAACAGGGGAAAATAATGTTTGTCAGATTTAAACACCCCAAATCCAGGAAACTCACACTTATGGCTGCAGTGCCTGTCTCTAGCTCCCTCGTCCTGCCTTTGATGTGGTTGGAGCCTGGCGCAAATACTTATCTCGTTTAAAAATACGGTGGTGTCATTTTGTAACAAAAATATGTATGTATATAAAACTATTTTTTATTGCCTCGATTAAAAAGTGACAGCTGGAAAAAAAGAACAATTTCTGCCTCGATGAAGGAGAAATTGTGTCAGGTTTACCGAGTGATAGCAGACACCAGCAAACGAATACTTAGTCCTGGTTTGCCACTGTATTTTTCTACTTCGTCTTTATAGCGTCCTTGCATATCAGTGGCTGATTGTAATGATGTGGGTTTGCATTTTTAAAGCCTCATCTTTTTTTAAGAGTCCTAAACCCCTTTGAAGGAACATTCAAAATGCTGCCCAGCATCATCACGGCTGGCCACAAGACAGTTTCAGTCTCTGCAAATGACAGACCAGACCAAATGCAGCAATGCAGCAGTCTCTCTTCGAATAATATTTCTGCACAAAGTGTAGAAATGTGGGTAATTTTTGTTCTAATGAATTTGTCCTGCTCCTCCTTTTCCAAACAATTGCAATTTCTGCACAGAAAACAGACCATTTTCACGAGGTGTATAAAGACAGATGTAAAATGGAGCAGCTATTTACCAGGTTTACTCTGGCTTTTCTTGTTCCCCACTCAATTCTTCCCTCGCTGTGGGATTCATTAGCTGCCAGCCAATCATCCAGCTATCCAGGGAAATTCACTTTGCAAAATTAAGGGTGACATCCCCAGACCAAGATGTTTTGAATTGTAGGGGGGTGCGGTTCTGGGATTGTCTGATCCCATTCATAGGAGGACTGGGGAGGTAAGGAACTCCCAAATAGTCTAAGAGCTTTATTAAACGAATCTCAGAGCATTGAGAGAGGTGCTGTAATGTTAATGATAAAGGCAGTGGCAGCAGGATTAGATGGTTGGGTTTCCTCCTACAGTTCCCCCCCAAACCCTCCGCCTTCCAGCTGCTTTGTCAGATTCAGCGCAAAGCTGGAATTTGTGTCTAGGTCACTTCTGTAAGATGCCCTGGTGAGAAACTGTAGTCCTACAGTTGTGTTTAGATGGGACACAGTTTTTGTGTTTTGCCAGGCAGAGCAGATGAGAAATGATGATTCTAAATCATGCTCAGGTCAGGCGTGGTGAGTAGCACGATGACCCCCTTATCTCTTAAATATAGGTGCAGGTTGCACTTCAGTATGCAGTGAAAGCCATATTTCACTTTTGTTTTTTGAGTGCTGTGCTGCTGATCTGGGTGGGCATACAGCATACAGACACACTACCTTTTAACACTCTAATACACTGTTGACTCCATCAGTACAAATCACTTTGCTCTTTAACTTTCTGTGTGTGTCTCTAATCACACACGTTTGCACATACAGAAGGTGCATGGGAGCTCATGCAGCAGTGTATTAATAAGTCCTGATGAGCCTGTTGATGTTCCAGTCTTGAAAGGAGACTTGGACTGGGTATAATGTGCAGAGAGTGTGGTGTTTCGTGCTCTGTTTAAGAGGACACTTGAATCTTTCTTCACTGTGCATATCAACCATTTAAAGTTGAGTTCATTTTGCCTTCAAAAAAGAGCATTGATTTTTTTCTTTTATCTCCCAGAAGTAGTCTATGTAAACACTGCACAGAATTTCTAGGAAAATGAGGGAGAATCTTTCTCCTCCCTCCCTGCTCCCCCCCTAGATGCTGAGGAGTGAAAGCAGTGCACCTCAGCACTCTGGCAGACATGGTTGGGGTCTGGTACCTCATGTTCCATGCCCAGCTGTGCTTTCCTCCACGCAAGGCTCCCTGAGCATTGTGAAACAGCATTTCAAAGGCTATTCTTCTGCCATTGTATCAGACTCTGCTATGGGTCCCCAAGTGTGGTTCATCTTCTAGTGCCCACTGCCTTGGTCAGATGTCATTGCCAAAGATAAGCCTGTTAGAGCCAACTAAAGCTATCTAAGCTTGTCCTGGTGGAAGTTTGCTTTGATTTGACTGCTAGGAAAATGGTAATTGTGTCTTCAGTTTTTAATGTGACCTCTACTGATGACTTTACAAAGCTCTGTGTTTTGGGTGGACTCAGTTTCTTTACATGGAGAACCTCAGAGCAATCTGAAACAATCATGTGTTTTTTTCAGATGAGGATTGATTTTAGTTGTTCGGGGTTTTTTTTTCCTGAAAATCTTCATCAGAGCTTAAACATATGGACTGTGAGCTTTGATGTCCATCTTGGAGCATAGTAGATTCACATTTTCGAGAAGCTGTAGATAAAACTGTAGGAAGTTGCAGACTGAGTTGTTTAGATTGTTTACACGGTCAGATCAGCGTATATACACCTGGGCACCCAGAGATGGAGACAGAAAAAATTGGTGTCTGCTTTAAATAATTTGGCTGGGACATCCGGTAAGTAGGTGGTACTGGATGCTCAGCCCCTCATGTGCAATGTAAAATGTCCTCCCACGAGAGATGAAAGGGCAGCCTCAGTGTGCAGTACAGGGGTCTGCCTCTGGGCATAAGTCTGGGTGCTGAGACTGTTGTGCCCCGTGATAGTGTCTGGATTGTGAAGCACACTAATTCCCACGCCCTTTTGTTTCCACAGCCTCGGAGAGATCTGTGTGTCCGCCCCTAGATGAAGCACCCCCTTTCTCGGTGCCCTTCAGTCCGTCCATGTGGAACAGCCTGGGTGGCTCTGAGCTGAGGCATCCTGTGCAAAGCTACAGGCCCTGCCCAACGCTGGAGCGACCCTCAGCGCCGGGGCTCTTGTGCGACCGAGGCTCTGAGCCTGCCCTGTAT